CTCACTTTCTATTGAATTCTCAAACTATACATAACATATATTGATTCCCACTGCAGTAGTGGCACTCTTCCCAGAGAAGGAAATTAACAAACTCTAAGAAACATAACCCAATAATCCACTCCATTGGAAGTGGATAGAGAATTGGGTTTTGGAGACAATAACTTTTTCAATTAACATTTAAAATCAAGGAGGCAAGATGCAGTGGCTCATGCCTGTGGAGGGAGGTTCACTTGAGCCCAGAGTTTGATACCAGCCTAGGTAACATGGTGAGAATTTGCCTTTAAAAAAAAAGGAAAAAAAAAGAATCAAGGAGGAAAAAAAAGGTATTCTCTACCACTAAAAGATTATATGCCTCTTTATATAACTCATAATTAAACCCACATAGTATAACTAACATAAATAACACTGCTTGGGGTGAGGGTAAGAGTGGCAAACATTCTAGGGCCTACTCGGAATCCATTACTGATGATAACACCATTGTCAAAAGACCAAATTACAACAGTGAAAGAAGGCACAACAGGAAACAAAACACTGATTATTCATTACAAAGTTATTCTTCTTATAGGGTTAAAACAGAACTTTCTTATGATGCTGGCTCCAGTAAATGGGTCACCTCTGGTTGCTGTGAATTTCATGGTTTTGTTGCTGTTATTTTTCAAACTGGGCTGTTTCAGCTCAGTTTGATCACATGGCCAAGTAAGTTTGGGGAGGTAATAAGAGATAAGGATTACTTGTAGTGTTTAGGAGGGGATTAAAGTTTGAATTTGTTCTAACACGCCAGTAGAAATAGAAAAAGAAAATAAGAAAACAAAAAACTCTACCAATATTTTTAAAGGGTAAAAAAAAGTAAGACACGGATATGTAGGACATGGAATACAAAAAATAATATGACAGAAACAATTTCAAATATATCATTAATCATAATAAAGGTAAAGAGACAAATTTATCATTACAAACAGGACTTTTTTTTTTTTTTTAAGAAAACCTACTATATGCCATTTGTAAAATATACCAAAAGCAAATTGATATGAAAAGTTTGAAATAAAGGCATAGTTGGTTTCTAAAAAAAATATCAACAACAACAAAAATCTTCCACTGAATTTTTGTTGTTGTTATTTTCATTTTTTTGAGACAAGGTCTTGCTGTCACACAGGCTGGAATACAGAAGCACAATCATGGCTCACGGCAGCCTCAACCTCCTAGACTCAAGTGATCCTCCCACTTCAGCTTCCCAAATAGCTGGAACTACAGGTGTGCACCACCATATCTAGCTAATTTAAAAAAACTTTTTTGTAGAGACAGCTCACCATACTGCCCAAGCTGGTCTCCAACTCCTGGGCTCAAGTGATTTACTCACCTGGCACTCCCAAAGTGCTGAGATTATAGGTATAAGTCACTGTACCCGGCATTCTACTGATATGTGATCATGAAAAAAGAGTCTTAATACCCAATATTAGAAATCCAAAGAGGAATAGAAGAACAAATTCAGCAAAGGTTTAAAATATATATATATATAAACAAATTGTTCTCAATAAATAACAAAATAACACAAAATGGACAAACTCTTAAAAATATAAACCTCACCAAATACAAAATGAAAAATAGAAAATTACATTACACACATGAGCATTTTTAAAAACTGAATCATACATTATTCCTGAGTTGGGTTTACCTACAATATGTGAAAGTGGTTATATAATAAAAAATTCACAAATGTTATATGCCTCAAATAAATTAATTGAGAAAAAATAAAACAATATCAGATGATACAGAAAGGCACGTCAAATAGGTATAAAAAGAATCAAAGGCGAGGTGCATGACTAGTCCCTGACCTTTCAAAGTTAAAATAAAATTATCCCCCATAGAACTGATTAGGAAATAGGGCAAATATGAAAGTACCTCCTTCAATTCACAAGGAACTTCAATCTCAAATGCCTCTCCACGTGTAGATGCTTCAAAAGTAGATTTAAGATGAAAGCCCATTTTTACCACAAAAAAAAGACCCAACTTGAACAGCTTTTCAAGCAAAACAACATCAATTCCTACACCAAAGGAGGCTCCTCTAGTGCAAAGAAAAGATGCTCACACATAATCTCCCAGATGTCCTTTTACCATTAAGATGTAGGGACGTTGTAGCATGTGACCGTGCAGTCTGAAACCGCCACAGTTCTTTTTCTACCACATAGAAAGCAAGCTTGAGAATGAGGCCAAAACACAGAGGAAGACACAACAGCAATGAAGCTGAGCAAAGACACCAGATTAACCAACTCTGAAACTCATCCAACCTCTGGACTTCATTGTTATGAGTCAATACATTTCCTTAATATTTAAACTACTCAGAATCAAAATTTCTGTTACATGTACTTCAGAGTACTCTAACTTATATACCTAGTCTGCCAATACACCTACTTGTCTGTCCTTGAGGAGTTTCATATATCTGTAAAAATGGCCAAAAAAAAAGTCCTCCACATCCTCCACTGCTATCACCCAACCAATCTGTTGTTATTTCTTGCCTTGTTTGACCACAACAGTCTCATAATTGGTCTTTTTGCTGCAGCCCCTGCGTCCACTGTCTACTCTCAATATACCAGTGGAGTACAGAAATGAAATAAAATTTGGCTATGGTTATATGTCTAGAACATGGCAGAACTATAATTTGAAAAAAATAGACAAGGTCTTTGCTCTCATGGAACCAGTTCTAAACGTACTATTTACTATTCTGCCACCTCCCAAGAAACTCTGCAGAGAAACTTGAGGGATCAAAGTAGGCTATGTCTTAGCTAATTTTCTGGAAAAGTTTTATTCTATTTCACCAAAAAGCAAAGAGTGAGGCCAAACATTTATATGGATTTTCAACTTCAAATCTGAGGTTACCCAGTAGATTACCTTTACTACCAGGTACACTTTACCTTTGTGTGTTTATTTACATAAATCTATCAATAAAACTTACCTTTAAAGCTTTACATTATAATGTAACCATTTAAAACAATCTAAACTGCTGCTTTTCAAGTATTAGCTCTGTTTTAGAATGTTCCAAAGCAATCTTCTGGAGAACGAACCTTAAAGTTTATTTTTTAAAAATAGGCTGGGTGCAATGGCTCAAGTCTGTAATTCCAGCACTTCAGGAGGTCTAGGTGGGCGGATCACCTGAGGTCAGGAGATCGAAACCAAGCTGGCCAACATGGTAATACACCATCTCTACTAAAAATACAAACAGTACCCAGGTTGTGGTGGCACACTCCTGTAATCCCAGCTACTTGGGAGCCTGAGGCAGGGGAATCACTTGAACCCAGGAGGTAGAGGTTACGGTGAGCCAAGATCACTGTACACTCCAGCCTGGGCGAAAGAGTCAGACTCCATCTCAAAAAAAAAGATAAACTAAATAGGGAGATAATTTTTTTAAGTATAAGGCTATAGGAAAAGATCCTCTTGTGCTGTGTAATCTGGCAGTTTAGAATTCCTGCTAGATAGAAACAAAGACTCAAGAGGAAGAGCCTCGGTAAACAAGGTAGCAGATACTAGAAACTGACTCAGGCCCCAGGGAGAAAATGAATGATTTAACACAAAACAGAAAATATTTTCCATTCAACAAATAGGATTCTCTTTCTGAATCCTGGCAACTAAACAGAAATAAAGATATAAATAAGCAATGCAACTAAATGGGCTTATAGAGCCAGCCATTTTTAATTAGCAGCTACTTGAACATGTATCACTACTTGTGAGAGGTCATCTGAATATAGTACTGTATAAACATTTCTCAAAATCACCCCAAGAAATCAAGGGAGGAGTCTCATTGAATCAATTGTGCTAACGGGAAATCAGTATAAGGCACTGGAGTTTATGTTACGAACTTTTAAAGCCCTGGTCATACTGGACAACTGTGAAAGACTCAGTGGGTGCTCCCTATGGACTCTAAATGTTTACAACACCATCAAAAAGAAGTACATATAATAACTAGAAGCAATACAATTTGTTTAAATTTAAAGTTTATTAATCCTATAAATTTTCTTTCTGAGAACTTTAAAGAAACTAAAATAATGTTAATTCATGATAATTTTTAAAACCTTAGGTGCTCTGTACCAAAACAAGTGCTTTATAAATAATGTCAAATAAACAAAACCAGAAAAATAGCTACATTTCATGACTAGAACATCACAGGTTAATTGGTTAGCTCAGTGATTTACACTAGAATCTTTATTATGTCAATTCTCAAAAACATTCAGTCATAGACTAAATAGAAGCTGGTTTGCTCTTTGCTAATAAGACTAAGATGAGATAATCACAAAGCATGAAAATAATCATCATCAAATTTGGCATGTGTCCTTTTAGTGCTAAGGATATTCATTAAAACTCAGTTGAAGGTTGCCTATCAGTCTATTTTCACTCACTGTTAATCTTACATACCTCTTCATCTAATAAACTACCTCAGATTTAAGAGGGAAAAGATGATAGACAGGTAGGTAGGTAAATAAGTAGGCAGGCAGGCAGGTAGGTAGGTAGGTAGGTAGGTAGGTAGGTAGGTAGGCAGGCAGGCAGGCAGACAGACAATAGGTGAATGGAATGTATATATGCAAAGTGATAATTTAGAAAAGTTCTTAAAACTATATATAGAATCAAGCATATACTACACATACATGTGACTTAATGGGGGACAGCCCAGCATGGTGGTCAGGAACAGAATATGTTCACTGTTAACAATCTGTCAGCAGTAATGTCTAATGGTCTAAATTAGACTTATATCCCATACAGGTCTGATTTAATTGCTCTGTTCACTAAATACAGGGTAAATAAGCCCAAGCAGCATTTCTCTATCAAAACAGCAAGATTTTAGATAAGTTCTCTAATTATAACTACACCTCAAAGAATAAAGAGGAACTTAGCTGCACTCCACCCTGCCTCCTACTTCAAATGAATTAAATAAATTATAACAACCTGTTCAGTACATTTACAAGAGACACTAAAAGGAAGGAGACCAGTGAAAAAGGTTTTCTTTTACTCACCTGTAACCCTCTCCTTCTCAGAATACTGGAATCATCCATAATAGATATCAGACAAAAAAAGCCACTCCCCAGACAGTCAACTATTAGTGCCTCCTTACTGCTGGATAAAGAGGCAAACAATTTATTCAGTACACCACTAACCCACTGTTCCACTAAACCAGTTCTCCCTCCGATGAGCGTAAGTATACAATCACTGCCTCATATCAGAGTCACGTCTTTCTTCACAGGAGTACAGGTACATCTTATCTGAAGCACTGCCAAATAGCAGAAAGACTTCATATTTGTTTTCATTTCCATGCATACCCCTTTGGTTGAAATTATTTGAAGTACCAAGAAAAGAACAAAAGGTTCCAGGGAGAAAAATTCCAATCTTTGATATTCTGACTTCACTGTTTATTAAAAAGGTTTAGCAAACAAGAGAGTCTCCACCTACAGCTACTAAGCTTATAAAATCCATGTCACGTTTTCCTTTCCAGAAACAAAACCACTCCACATACGTTTTTAAAAAGATGACAATTCTTCAGAAATACAAAAAAAAACATACTGTTCTGATGCCTGTATTTTAGACTCAAACTGATAAAACCAGTTATTGTTTTGACTAAGTCGGCAAAATTCCTTTCATCCTTTGTACAGACAAAGCAAATGTCAGATTCTTTCGATACTGTCAGGGGCTCTTTTGTCTCTTTATCGCTAGACTCGCTGGTCTTCACTTCTTAGACAGTAACGAAAGCCTCTTTCTTCAGGAGCTAAATCATTGCTAAGGTCGGTTTCCCTGCTCTTTTATGTGTCGGAGGGGGCTAGTACACGTGTTGTGAGTTCTGAGCATGGACAAATTCATTCATCTATTCATTGCTTACAGTGCTGTCACAGGAAATGCTCCCCATTCCCCCAGACTTCTAAAAGGGCACAGCATGGAAAAGTCTAGTTTTATCCAAGCTTTAATAATCTCAAGAATTGTTTCTTTGGTTACTGGCTGCCATTTTTAAAGTAGGACTTCAGCCAAGTTTAAAGATGCTTCTCTCTCTTAATTCATGGCGCAAATATATAATCTTTTACATTTTAAGAGTGAAAGATTGTTCTCATGATATGATTCTGTCCCTTAAACACTCCATAAGCAACATTTAAACTTTACAACTTCATGGTAATTGTCAGAATCTTAGTAAACACAAAGGAAAGTTGCTAATCTTTCTAATAAATCACACACACAAGACTGTTTGTGAAGGTAACACTGTATTTTTAGGAAATGGGTTAAACAAATTAAATACAATCATTTTCACCAAACTATAAAACATGCTATAATAATTACTCACTCTCCAACAAAATTCAGAAGATATGAATCCAAATTTCCTAATATGATAGATAAAGGTATGTATAAAGAACACAATCAGCCAGTTGTACTACCTAAGGTGTAAATATAGCAATAACTAAAGGCCAGATTCAGTCTACCCCCAACGAGGAAGAAAAGCTGTCCCTCCTCCTATAATTATGACAGCTGCAACCAACAGTCTAGGGCTTGAAGGAAAGTCTATTTACAAGATCTTTTTCTGGTCTTCTTACAACAATTATAGTCATAAGAGATTGCCATACTGCTGAAAACTGCACAAAAAAAAACAGGATCCATGTCCCTTTCATTCAGCAGAAATCTTCTAATCCTTAGCATAACCACTGTGGTCTTTCATTGTGAGAGCTAATAAATCCACATCTCCACGGATTCCTTCTCCCATCTGCTGCTTTAAACAACTAACGGCTGGATTATGTCTATGGGGAAAACAAACACAAGACCTGAACAGACAGCTGATTTGCACAGGGTATGCTATACACTGTATGAGTGTCTGCAAAGTAACAGGCCTTTATAGTCATAGAACCCCACTATCAAAATAGGTTTAACTAATTAGAATATATGTATCAGCAGAGAGGAAGTAGGAATGGTTTCTAATTTATGCAACACTATAGTCAGTAAAAACATAAAAATGATGCTTTCTAAGAAGGTATTCAGACAAAAGATTCAAAATGCAAACTCTTTATTCATTTACTAATTCAAGAATCACTTATCATGTCAACCACTGAGATAGGGATAAGGAAAAATTACCAAAATCAACATTACCCATACACTAATAATCCTACTCTAGGAGAGCTCAAATCCAGTGGGGAAGCCAAATATAAACAAGTAATTATGATACAACATGAGAAGTATGCTACATCAAAGGTATGACAAAGTGCTACAGGAATGTCAAGGAAGACTCAATTCATTATATTAGGAAGGCTACAAAAAGGCTTCAAGTGGAAGTGCCATTCGTGCCACTGCACTCCAGCCTGGGCAACAGAGCAAGACTTTATCTCAAAAAACAATCTTGAATCAGTCTTTACTATCTAAAAAATTAAGTAAAAAACTTCCCCCTTTAGCATTCAATGCACCCCATAACATGGAAACAATAGATTTTATCTTCAATAGTACCTTATTGTAACTTAGCCTTCCAATTGGAAAGAACAAGGCACTGTTTCCTAAACACATCCCATCCTTCCCCACCTCAAATCCTTTGTGGATAAATGGGAATATAACCATCTACCTTAGAAGGTTGTTGAAAAGAATCATTTATGAAACATGAATGAATGAGACACAACCTGGTTTCCTTAAAGTCTGTTTTGTTCTAAAAATTTATATAAATTTTGCATTTTTCTATGTAAGATAAAAAATCTTTATTTGTTTAATGTTACAATAATATTTGTAGTTACTGATTAAACTGTAGGAGACAGAAGAAGAGTAACCAGAGAGGTAGAAGGAAATCAAGACTGCAAATGCTATTAAAGAAACCACGAAAAGAATAGTCAGGAACTGAACAAATGCTGCCCAGAAGCCCATTAAAGAATGCCATCTGGGCCGGGTGCAGTGATTCATGCCTGTAATCCCAGCACTTGGGGAGGCCAAGGTGGGCAGATCACCTGAGGTCAGGAGTTCAAGACCAGCTTGGCCAACATGGTGAACCCCATTTCTACTAAAAATACAAAAAAAATTAGCTGGGCGTGGTGGCGGGCGCCTGTACTCCCAGCTACTCAGGAGAATCGCTTAAACCGGGAGGCGGAGGGGGCAGTGAGCCAAGATCACACCATTGCACTCCAGCCTGGGTGACAGAGGAAGACTCCGTCACACAAAAAAAAACAAGAATGCCGTCCAATTTAACCAACTTGGAGTCATTGGCACCCTCTGTAAGAATGGTTTCAGGAGTGAAGGAGTGGTAGGAGCAGAGGCCCAACTCTGATGAGTAGGAGACAAAAATAAAGACAATGAGTCGGGCGTGGTGGCTCACGCCTGTAATCTCAGCACTCTGGGAGGCTGAGGCAGGCAGATCACCTGAGGTCAGAAGTTCAAGACCAGCCTGACCAATATGGTGAAACTCTGTCTTTAAAAAAAAAAATAGGCCAGGCATGATGGCTCACGCCTCTAATCCAAGCACTTTGGAGGCCAAGGCAGGCGGATCACCTGAGGGCAGAAGTTCAAGACCTGCCTGACCAACATGGTGAAACAGCGTCTTTAAAAAAAATAAAAATAATAAAAAAAAATAAAGACAGTAAATCCAGACAACTCTTCCAGCTTCTGTTTAACTCTCCATGCCCTTTGCAACCAAACTTCACAAAAAAAAAGTTATTCTTGAAAAGGAAGGGAGGGAATTCAGAGCATAAACAGTGATAGAAGAAGGAATATTTCCTCCACAACAACAGATGAAAAAGCAGGTACAGGTAACAAAATATTTGTAACTTTAGTGGCAAAGAAGCTAAAGAAACTTCCACATTATGGCTATTTTCTCCATGAAATGAAAAGGAAATCAGCAGAAAGCAAGGAGATTCCAAATTTGAGATGAGCAAAACAAACAAACAAACAAACAAACTGACAGATAATGTAAAGAACAAGAAAATATGCTGAACAAAAAGTAGAATTGATAAGCAATGCTGAGGACTGACTGACATCATTTAGCATCATTTTATAGGCCCACCAATCTGCTCCATTGTGTGGCTTTCTTCAGTAGACTACAGAAATTCAAAGGCAAAGTTTTACCAGACAGCTTTACCAGATAAATTGACCAAAAAATGGGGCAAACAATTTATGACATGGACTAGAGAGAGTAACAACAGAATCTAAGCTAAAAGAGGAGGAAAGTAAAGATTAAAACACAGGAAGAAAATATTTAATAGAAATGCTGATAAGTCTGAGAACTGGTATACTTTAAGAATAAAAATGTGGAAACTAAAAAATTTATCAGATTGTAGTGAGGAGGTTACCTAGAGTTACGATTTTAGTGAAGAAATAATTCAGAGGTATGACAAGGCAGAGAGCTAAGTGGATTAGAAATGATAATGGGGTCAAACAACTATGCCAGGATATTATTGAATGGATCCCTCTACATGGTTGCTGAAAATAACAAAGATAATAGCAGGAGTTGAGAGGAGTAAGTAGTAAGATGTTTATTTTATTGAGATTGAGTTTCATTCTTGTCGCCCAGGCTGGAGTTCAATGGTGTGATCTTGGCTCACTGTAACCTCCTCCTCCCAGGTTGAAGTGATTCTCCTGCCTCAGACTCCTGAGTAACTGAGATTATAGGCACCTGCCACTATGCTCAGCTAAATTTTGTATTTTTAGTAGAGAAGGTGTTTCCCCATGTTGGCCAGGCTGGTCTCAAACTTCTGACGTCAGGTGATCTGCCCGCCTTGGCCTCTCAAAGTGCTGGGATTACAGGTGTCAGCCACAGTGCCTGGCTAGGAGGAGTAAAATTTATACTCGATGATAGAATCTAATATGAAACAGAAGGAATAATTAAGCTAGTAAACAGAAGACAGGAAGGGAGGTTTTAGACATAAGGACTACCAAGAAAAATTACCCTAATGGTCATATATGTATTGATTCTTGCTTCAGATTAAAAAAATTTTTTTTTTGGAGATGGAGCCTCACTCTGTCACCCAGGCTGGAGTGCAGTGGTGTGATCTTGGCTCACTGCAACCTCTGACTCCCAGGTTCAAGTGATTCTCCTGCCTCAGCGTCCCAAGTAGCTGGGATTACAGGCACCCACCACCACTCCCGGGTAATTTTTTTTTTCTTTTTGGTATTTTTAGTAGAGACAGGGTTTTACCATGTTGGCCAGGCTGGTCATGAACTCCTGGCCTCAAGTAATCTGTCCCTCGGCATCCCACTGCCTTAGGATTACAGGCATGAGCCACCACACCAAGCCCAGATCAATTTTTATCAAAGTGAATGTGCTAATTTACCTCAAATGCCCTATTTTATAACTGGAGAAATTAGGACCCAGGAAGGAGACATAACCTGCTCAGAAACAGTATAGTAGAAACTTGAACCCATGTTTCCTACCCGAACATTCGGCTTTAACTAAAAAGAACAGATAGAATAGGGTTTCTTGTCCAAGAACAGATGAATAAAACATTTTCATCAACTTCTCTATTATATGTTATTAGTATGAGCAGACTATCAGCCAATGACTAGCTGAAAAGTCGAATACCTTGCAGAAATATAAGTAAATACATAAATTCTCAGAATAGGCTGCACATAAATTATCCTTTCATGTAACAATAAGTGAGTAAAATATAACTAGCCCTATGTGGAAAGCTGTAAGATTCTTCACATGATAAGCAAGCCAAGCAAAATAAGCACAACTTTAGGCCCGGCACTGTGACTCATGCCTGTAATCTCAGCACTTGGGGAGGCTGAGGCGAGTGGATCACTTGAAGCTAGGAGTTGGAGACCAGCCTGGCCAACATGGTAAAATCACATCTCTACTAAAAATACAACAATTAGCCAGGCATGGTGGTGCATGCCTGTAGTCCCAGCTACTCATGAGGCTGAGAGAAAAGAAATCACTTGAACTCAGGAGGCAGAGCTTACAGTGAGCCGAGACACACCACTGC